CTGATGACTAAGGACACCTCGGATGGGCTGAACGCCGAACTCATCAGCGACTTGTTGCATCAAGTTGGTGATGTCAGTATTGGTGTTCCCTAATTATGATGATGATGGGGAAGAAGAGGCAGTCCCCCTGTTCTTACCGAGTTTGACCTTCCTAAGGACGGCCTCAGCAGCAGTATGGGCGGCCATGACGACATCAGCCGCCTTGCCAGAGACTTTAGCATCACCCGCGAGGACTGTGTTAGCAGCAGCTGTGATGAAACCATCAATTTGGACAGCAAGATCGACCTAAGATACACTTCGTGCCCGCATGATAAGATACGGATCATGTCCATCACCTTGACGACATCTCCTTCCTTGATAGTGACCGACTCCCCTTCAAGTGGACTGAAGTGACCGGCGACTTCGTTGATGCTGATGCATGTCGGGAAAGCAATACCCTTGGGGACTACAGAGCCCTTAACCTGACCTCATCCGTATCTTACCACCATGAACCTCAAGATACTCCTCACCTTCTTATTATACAACTTAGCCGTCTGTTCCTCAATAAAGTCATCACCGAGTCGGCATAACTCATACACGTCAGCACCGGGCTTGACAGCGTTCATGACGAGCTCTAATGCCTTGTTGGTGATGCCTGATTGTTCAAGTAAATACAACTCGAAGGAGGGATACGACGAGGAGGAGGATGAACGTACCAGCAGCGGTAATATACTTAGTAGTGACGTCAGGGTTGGAAAGGTCAGTAACCTCATCTTCATATTCTGAATCCGACATTCGTGAGAAAGGTGAGAGTCAAATCAGGTAAGCACCAGCCTGCGAGACTGCTAATAATCAGCCCTTCTAGACAGGTGAATAGAGCGAGACGGCTATTTTTGCCAAATCGATCATATGGGCGCGCGCTTTTTGCAGTGAGTATTTTTCCGATGAAAGCCGTCTCTGATTTGGTAAAGTTTTTTCCATGTTGAAGATTACACTTGTCATCCTCGGGTTCATGAGTTTGGCCAATGCGGTGCTGACGGTGAGCAAATAATACCTCATTCGAACCTGTTTTGCATCTTGACGCTGGTGACCTAAGATACTCCTCCTTAGGTGAACCGTCGTTGTCAGTATAGCCCTCACGCGGCTGGTGATTATTGTTGTTGTGTGAGATCCACTAATCGTCGTTATCGCGAAACTGAAGTGCAACTTTGCCTTGAAGGCGATAGACGATTACCCACCTTTAAATGGGCTAAATGCCCTGTTAGGGAAGACGGAAAGCTCGTGAGGGGCGAATTTGAGGGCGAGTGAGAAGTTTATGCAACTGTCACATTATCAATTCTTTTTCCTCAGCGACATTCGTGTTCCCCGTAAAGCATATGGGAGATTCTTCTTGGGCTGGAGGCCCTCGACCAACGCCGTTTACTCTTGCAAGTCTGCCTTTAGAACCTTCCAGAAGAACGCGATCGGCCGCACTTGGGGAACGGCTAGTCGTAAAGTTGTGGAGAATGTGTGCTCGATGATAGAAGACTACGATGAGGCCGCTCCCAAGTATAAGAACTCAACTACACAAGTTTGACGAATTAAACCGTTAATAGTTAATTCATGTGTATTGATGTTACTGATGTCTGTCACTCAATCGACCTCACTTGCGTTCATTATAAAGAGTGGTATAGGGGAATGTGTTAGGATAGTCTCTCGCTGTTTTGACGATTGTATGGGCTCGCTTTGAGCTGACCGGTTATAAGCACCGAGTCTCGATTGGTAAGTGACCGAATTCAATATCCAAGCGCATGAGGAAGATGAGCAATGCAATATCGATATGACATGTTGGTAGATTTGAACCTGGGTGAACGGAGGCACCTGCTTTGCCCAAAGCTTCAACGTATGCCATGATGGCATCAGCGCGCGCCAGGGGTGGGGGCCCCTGGGAGAGCGCGGCCAAACCTTTAACGCACATCACGCAGGTGCGACCTGCCTACTGAATAGGGCTGCAAATGAAAAAGCTAAATTTGAACGAGCCGTGGAAATTGGCTGATTATCCGTGTACACATAGAACTCTACGCTAATGGGTGGCCTCTCAAGTATGGTTGAAACTGAAATTCTGTGACCAGAGATTGTTCTTGAAACGTCCGAATTCACGTGGTGCTGCGCGAGTATGGCGCGCTAAAGTCTCTTAAGAGCAGTTTCATGGGTAATAGAAGGTTGACTCGGTGAATTGGGTTCCAAGGTCTTAGCCTTTAAGTGATGCAGAAAATCACAGGCATGATGCGTTCTGTGATGTCTTCGAACTCACGCTCCGGGATGAGGAGTTCTAAATTTCTGTATCGAACTGGTCTGTTTGGCCGCACACGCTTCACTTATCTCGAGCATAATTCCTCATGTTGAGCATGATTTGAGCATATTGTCGCATAAGTAAAACATCTATTGTTCCAGCTCAGCTCATATGGATCGCGATGTGGTAAATGGCGTAAGAGGTGATAATATATGGGCACCGATATGCTACATTAGCACACTCCATTGACATGGTGTGATACATCTTCGGAAACATCTGAGGATTCCCCATAGGTTTGGATTGTAAAATTTTCGTAACGAATCACACATTTATGCGGTAATATTGAACCTCATATAGCGGGTTTTATCCGACCCGGATGGCTCGCGGAAACCGCCTCCTTCCCCCATCACTAAAATCTCCTTTGGGGAATAGATCTGCGACTCGCGGACAACGAATACTATTGGAAGCCTTCCAATCTCGTTGTTATTCTGTGAGTTTCATTAAAGAGGTTTGAAATAGTGTGTGTCTGATGGGACATACTGTGTGTTAATTGATCAGTGATGAGCGATTGAAACTTCCGGAGTGAGGACGATTCTTTTACTTTTCTGGCAGCAGATCTACCTTGATGAGTAATTTTTATGTTAACTATGTTGGTGGGGGCTTGTTATTAGACCTCGATTATATAGCGCCGAAGACGCAGAGAGAATTAGAGTTGGGGAGTCGTGTTCGAGGAGCACGACGAGGAGTACCATTAATCGCTACCTACTGCTTTCTCAATGCCTCTCGTCCAGTGATAGTTGGTCTCTTCGGAATGGTCATGAGTTAAGTTGGTGGGGATCGATTGTCAGCTCAACGTTGATGATGATCATATCAATACCCTCTGGTTAGTGGGTATTCAAGCAAGGCCTCGACGAGTTTACTTACGATCATACCCCTATTCGAAATCTTAACTTCGTGTTACACGAATCGGGCATACCATACCACTCCTCTTATTCATAGCCCCACATCAATGAACCCCCTCACCCTCGACAAGTTGCATACCTTTGTGCGGAGATATGTACGTGTGAGTGGTGCTGGGCGAGCGAGATTCGCGCAACGAAATCTTGCTTTTTGTATGGCGTGGGTGAACGCAAGTGAATAGTGGCGGCACTAGAGATGTATCAATCGTTGTAGGGTTACACCAGATCAAGTACTTAAAGTACTTCCACATCAGACCCCATGGTAGCTGCCACTACTTATCGTCGTGTCGAGAAGCCCATCGAGAAAACCGAGGTGGGCGCCGCCGTATCTCTGTTGTTGTGTTGAAGTTGAGTCTCAACTGTTGAGGAGGTCGGTTATTCAGCCCGAAGACGGTGAGGTTCGCATCACTTCGGTTGGTCGAGTTAATAACTTCGTGGACGAGGCGATTCATTGGTTCCTCGGTGATGATGATACTCATAAGGCTTGCAAAAGCGTTAAGATCATGGCTAGAGGTATCTTAGGTTCCGGTGTGGAAGATTCAATTGAGGTCCATTTAGGTGTCGCAGTGGCGAAGGCCGTCATTGTGTCTGAGATCCTCATACGCCGTGTGCCTGGGCTTAAGCAAGCTGTGGAACTCGGCAGCAACGACGTTGAAGAAGAATATGAGGCTGTTGATGACACCGATAAGGATCATGTAAGTGTATTATCCTCATGATGATGCAAGTATGTGTTAGGTGAAGCAAGTTCGTATCGTACCATATCTTGTTAACACTCTCACTGCAACGAAGCCGTTGACCAAGGACGATATCAAACCTGATGAGTTTGTTGAGTAATCTGAAAAGTATCTTTGATCGATTTGAATGATCTCTGTTCAGACGTCCTGATCTCGCTGGTGGTCGTCGTGGTAAA